CCCAGCAAGCTGCACGTTTGGTGTTTTCATTTGCAGCAAGGTGAATTCTTTGTCCCTCTGCCTCACTTGGTTTTACGTAGCTGCAGCCTATGATGGGGAAGCCAAGTCACCAGAAGTGAAAAGCTGTGTGGAAAATGTGGTTTTCTCCTCCAAAATCCATTTAGAGAAAATGCTTTGTGAAATATTTTGCAGAAAACAAGATAACTTATATTTCTCAGGGGTTTTTTTTCCAGATGAAAATTAATTTTCAGTGAGAATTATCATAAGCCAGAATTTTCCTTTTGAATGTGTCTTCCAGCTGAAAATGCTGTGAAAAACATGCCTATTGTTCTACTTGAACCTCCCCTTGAAGTTCTCATCTAGGTTATGAAAAAGAAAGCAGAGTAACATAATATTTTTTCTGAGAGCAAGCAGGGACTAAGGGTTTGTGCAGAGATGAGATGGAGCCATTGGAGGCCAAGGAGATCTCAGAAGGGTCCTCAAGGCACCCAGAATCACGTTGTTGTAATACAGTGATTGTGGAAGGAGTTTGACTTGGAAATGTATCTGGCTTTTTCCTAGAAATGTTTGAATTTGTTTATATCTTAGGGCTATAATTTTTTAATCTCTGAATGTGGATTGATGGTGACTATTGATGGTAGGATAATACATCTATCTTGTCTACTTGCTTATCAGGGAAACGTGTTCATCCTGTGAATAATTTGAACATCAAATTACAGAGTTCATTAAAGTCTTTCACGAATAAAGAAATGCATTGTTCCTGCATGCTGGACTGGGGCTGATTTCTCCCAAGTGTCTTCTGCCCTTGTGTGGCCCTGTCACCAAAACTCTGGTGGTCTCTCTGGCTCACTGCCCAGCTTGGTCCCTGTCCCCATGGCAAGCCTACCTTGTCCCCACCTTGCTGGCCCTGCCATCACCTCCCTCTGCTGAGCAGGGCTGGGTGACAGAAGGCACTTGGCATCTTCCACCTTGGCCTCCCACAGACAAAAAAAGAAGGCAAATGCCAAAGGAGGAAAATAAAAGCCAGGCAAGACATCACCATCCTGCAGCATCCATGGCAGTTGCTGAGACTGCCTGATAAAAGTTCTGCCCTGTGTGTGCTACAGGCAGCAGCTTGGAGCTTTTTGCCAGAGTGGGATCAGGCTTTGCATGCTAGAGGTGAGGAGCCCGGTGACTTCACACACAAGAAGCTTGTGGCACAGCTGGGAGTAGGAGCCAAGTCTTAAAGATGATAATAGGCCTTATTGTTGTGATTAATCACAACAATATTTTTTTCTTTATCAGAATACTACAAAACCCTCCCTCGCATCTTTCATTAACCTTCCCCTTTCAGCACCCTAAATTTTGGAAGACTGAGCTAGCCCTTGGGGCAACTGAATGGTGCAACGCCTCAGTTTCCCTCTCACACTCTCCTGACATGAGAAAAATACTGAGCAAGGATTTTTCTCTATCACATGTCCTGCTGCTGGCACTGCAAACCAGACCATTCAGAAAGGCTTTGGTCCCTGCCTCATCATTCATGTGACTGCTGACTGAATACAAAATGTAAAGGGTTACCTGCTCCATGCAGATAACATCAACTGGTGCACATTTTTAACCGTCGCTGGAAACAGCAGCCAGTTTCATTGGACCAGTGCTGGAAAAGAGGCACCAAGCCAGGGCTTGCAATATTTTCCTCAGCAGGTGCGTTGGTGTGATGAGCTGCAGAGTTTCGCATAGGTGTCCTCCAGCTTGGTAAAGATATTCAGCTGTTTGACTGAGGGGAAAAGGGTTCTGAAAATTCTCTGGTTTATGTGGATGGTTGCTCGAGTGTACATTAAAAGTTTTAGCTGTCTGCCTGCTTATTTGAAGGGTCATTAAAAATGAAATTATGCATGTTTGCATGGGAGGGAGAGAGGGAAGGAAACAGCAAAAAAAACTTTTAATGTCAGTCATTCATTTGTATTTTAACTGTATCTTTTTAGGGGTACTGAAATGACCAACTTTTGTGCAGATGATTTGAAAAGGAATGTGGACAGAGGTCTAGAAAGGCTCTTTTCAAATGGCTGCCAGAGAGAGGGTTTAGTTTCTAGAGCAGACAGGATGTTTTTACATTCATTTTTTATTCCTAACAGGAAAATTTTCTTATGGTCTCCAAATTCTGGTAACTTTTACCAGTTAAAGAGTGTAACAATTTAACTTGGAAGATGTTTCAGTGACACCTGTCCATCCCTTCTGCATGAGTCCAGGAGGCTGCAAAGCCAACAAAATGTTGGAAAGAGGATATAGGCAGGGTGAATGTGATGATTTTTTCTGCAGGGATTTTGCTTCGGGAGATTACAGAAGTATTTGGTGATTTTGCTTGGAATTTCTTGTCTTTCCTTGCATGCTCATCTCTGGTGGTGATTTTGCTTGGAATTTCTCATCTTTCCTTGCATGCTCTCTCTCATCAGTGCTGTACCAAGCAGGGTGCAAGGTGCCACAGATAAAGGTGCCCAGGTGGCAGGATTCTTGGGGACAGCTTATGCTGGGATATTTTGAACTGGGTTTTTGGGGGTCATTTCCTCATTTTTCCCTCTGAGATGCTGTGTTTGGTGAAATGTTAGTGCTGTATAGTTCCCTGGGGTGCCAGCAGGGAGGGCATGGCAGGAAATGAGCAGAGCACTGAGCAGAGGGGGGACAGGGACTGGGTAGGACCAGGGCTGAGTCCCTCACAGCTTGTGGAAACTCTTTTGGAGGCAATGCTGCCAGTTAGGGTTGGATGGTCCTTCCTGTTAAAAGCCTCCATTTTCAGCTGCTAGTAAAAATTAGTGAAACCTCAGCTAGCAAAACACAGACCTTCCCTTCTAATTGCCTTCTTCTTAAAAACAGGGAGGGGTGAGGATGATTTGAGCCACAATATTCACCATTATGGGAACCTCCACAGCTGGAGTGACACACAGGAATTATTTCTTTGCAGAGGGGAAGGGTGCTGTGGCTGAATGTGCAGTCAGGGAGGTGGATGTGCTCTGAGGGTCCATGGGACAGGGCAGGTCTCTGCAGCATCCCTGGGGGAGCAGGAGAGGGGGAAGCAGGCAGCTGGTGCAGGCAGGATGGTTTCTCCCCTGCCTGTGCCTTGTGAAACAGCTGGCAGTGGTGTGATTGTGTACTCCTCATGTGGCATGTGGGATGGGTCTGTGAATCAGTATTTCACTACGGCTTATCTGCCAGGCCCCTGTTTTGGTGTTGCAGAAGTTGGACAAGGGGCATGTAAATGAAACAGGAGCTGGTGGGAAAAGAAGGGTTTAATAAGGCTTGGTTGGGTCGATAAAACAGCTGACAAGACAAATACACACTGGCTGCTGCAGATCTGGAGGCTTTCTGCCTCTGCAGGAACCACAGTGCTGCCGGGCTGCTGCCGAACTCATGTTTTCCCACAGGGGTGAGAACAGCTCTGTGCTTCCCAGATCATGGTACAATAAAGTCAGCATTGTCTCTCCAAGCCTCGGGTCCCACATATGGCAGCCACATGACACAAAGCGTTAACCCACAAGAAACTCACTCCTCCAGCTCAAGCACTGTTTAACAGGTTTCTGGAGGTTAAAACTTGGCATCTTGCTGTGTATCTTCATTTATGCTTTAGATGCTCTTTTCCTGCGTGGAACAGTTTGCTGCCCAGCCTCTTGTGGCCAGGGTATTTTGGAAGGGAGAAGGATATATTTGATAGATGGGTTGTTTGAAACTTGGTGATGTGACTCATTGTAGGAAAGATCCCATATCCCTCAGCCCTGGCATTTCCACTCACAGTGATTGACTGGCTCTTCCCACGTATTTTGAAGGACATTAATGCTAATTAATTATTTGTACACCTTATCATGGGCTCACCTACTAGGAAACAATACCCACTTGAAGACAGTAATCCCTGGGATTGATGTTTTGTCAGGGATTGGCTGCCTCCCAAGAATTATCTCCCAATCTGTGGAAAAAATGTGCTGAGGCCAGCGGGTGCCGCAGCGGAGGCGGCTCCATTAGGGGTGACTGAGGCACTGAGTGGGCCCCTTTCTTTTGTAAGAGCTCAATGTGGAGGTTATTGCTCACTTCCCACCGCACAGCAAGGTCAGGGAAGGGATGAGATCTGTGTTTTGGAGGACATCAGTGGGTACCGGCCATAAAACTGGTGGGTTGTGCACCATGTGTGGGTGTCAACCAGCTGTGGCTGATTGACTGATGTCCCTGCAAGCACCCTGCTGCAAAGGGTAGCCAGAGCATGAACAACTTCTGGCAGATGCAGGCATATGGAATGGGAACTTCACTGGTGGCTTTGGCCGCCCCAAGCAGCAGCTGGGGTAATCACACCCCAGAGCTTGGCATTGGGCAAAATTTGGAGTGTGCAGCAGGGGTTGGAGATGAAGCTGGGGCACTGAGGGAGCTGATGAAGAGGAAATGCTTAGAGGGAAAACAAAGCAGTAGAATTTCAAAGGCAGGAGCCTTCCTCAGTATTTGCATATTCTCACTGACTTGGTGTGGGAACAGGCATTTGTTGTGTAGTGGCTTCTGCGGCAAAGTGGAGTGGTGGGTGTGTGGTGCTGTGGGTGTGTAAATATCTTCCTGTGGAGGAAATCAATTCACTTGTGTTAATAGGGCAGAGCCTTGATTTTCCACAAAAAGATTGATCCACCACTCATTGGTGCTGCTGCCTTCTGATCCCTCCCTGTGGTCAGGGGGACCCTTAGGATCATGGATCCTCAGACAGCAGCTTGGTTCCAGCTTAGGGCCATAGCCCTAGCCCTCCTGTGCCTGGAGACACATGCCTCATCAGCAGCTGGGGTTTAGGAAAGTTTTGGTAAGGAGAAGCTTTGGCACCTCAAGCTCAGTTCCAGCTATGAGGCCATGGAAATGTCATAAGAACCTCCTAAATTACTTTGTTCATGTGGGATTTGGAGTGCTTTGCTATTTACAACCTCTACTTTTCAATTTTGTAGGCATGGAAAAATTCACATAAGAGCTTTTAATTACATCTATTATTAACTTCCCCTCAGACCATGTCTTCCTCCATCAAAATCGAGTCTGTTGTGAAGGAGAAGAACCGGATGGGAGAGTGCCCAGTCTGGGAGGAAAGGGAGAATGCACTTGTCTACGTAGACATCAACTCTCAGAAAGTTTGCCGCTGGAGCCCAGTCACCAATGAGGTGCAGAGCGTGTCTGTGGGTAAGAGTCCACACTCACTGCTTCATCCTGGCACTCTGTCTGTCCCATCCACCCCTCCTGGTAGGAGTCCTGCAGGTTGGTGGTCTCTCATGGGACCACACTCCCTATCTTCCCACAACGTGTTGCTGAGCACAGTGTGGCCTAAGCCAGCCAAGTAGAGTGCACATGTTGCCCCTGATAAGCCTGAATGGGAATGCATGTTTCATTTGGGACCTGCAGAGAAAAAGGTACAGTCCTAATGGCTGTGCCCTCCTAGAAGGTGGAAAAATCCATGGAACATGGAGCCAGTGAGATGTGCTAACAATCCCAGGGGAGAAGGCTCTTAGCATCAACTCAGCCTTTCCTGGCCAGGGATGTCCCGGTCAAGCCCAGATACTCTTGGTAAAGGCTGAGTGATGGCCCCAGAGCTGCCTTTCATCCTCTGCTCTCTCTCCCCCACAGATGCCCGTGTCAGCTCAGTGGCTCTGCGGCAGTGTGGGGGCTATGTCATCACCCTGGGGACCAGGTTTGCCTTCCTGGACTGGGACACCCAGGCAGTCACCACCATCCTCGAGCTCGAGCAGGATAAACCCAACAACAGGTTCAATGATGGGAAAGTGGATCCAAAGGGGAGGTTTTTTGCTGGTAAGCTCCTGGCAGAAATTTCCCCTGGAGCAAAGGGAAACTAATTATAGTGTATTTTATATAAGATATTTTTATTTATTCCCTGTCTTGTGAATGCTCTGCTTGGTTACTGCCTAGTGGTGGAGGACAGGGGACTCTACATCTTCTGACCTAGATGAGGACAGAAGCTGTTGACAGGGGCCATCTGACAGGAAGGCTCCCCTACTTGGTGGAAGGTGTTTTTCAAACAACTGGCTTCATGGAAAAGCCAGTGAAGGGCTCATGTATGTGGGGTTTTTTCTGGAAATGTAGAGAAGGATGCAGCTTCTGGAGCAGAACATGAGCTGCAGCTTGCACCCATTATGTGCAGCCTCTCTTGGTTAGCCTGTGAAAAACAAGGATATGGGGGGGAGATCCTCAGCCTCCTGAAGGCAAGAAGGAGGTTTAGGTTGTACATTGTGTAAAAGGTCTTCACCCACAGGGTGGTCAGGCACTGGAACAAGCTCCCCAGGGAACCAGTGATGGCACAAAGCCCAACAGAGTTCAAGAATTGTTTGAACAATGCTCTCAGGCACATGGTGTGCACCTGTATTTTAATGGTCACAGCCCATTTAAATTATGAAAGTAGCCTACAAAGAGCAACAACAAAAACAGCATATGATTGATGCCTGCCTGCATCTCAACTTCTGCTGTGAGCAAAAACTCAGCCCCCTGGGATGTGTCCTGGTGGTCCTTTGTGTCTTTGATGTCTATGACTTAAACCTCATGGCAATGCAGTAGCATCCTTTCATTGGCCAGGATCTGCTCTGTGGGAGGCAGCTGCCCCTCATCTGCTCCTTTTGCTCTTCCTCATCAATCTGACAGGACCTATTAGTCTCTTTCACCATAGGATTGCAGAATTGTAGAATCATAGAATGGTTTGGGTAGGAAGGGACCCTTAAGACCATGTAGTTCCAATCTCCCTGTTGTGGGCAGAGACACCTTCCACTAGATCAGGTCGCTCATCCATCCAACCTGGCCTTGAACACTTCCAAGGCATGGGACATCCACAACTTCTCTTGGCAACCTGTTATTTTCTTTTTAGGAAGAAAAGAAAAAAAAATCACAATCCTGTGATTCTCCCTAGAACCTCTTGGTAACACTTAGAGAAGGTTTTTGATCAAACACGAGGAGCAAGCTTCTACTTTCTAACCAGTGCTCCCATTTCCATTTCAGGCACGATGGCTGAAGAGACGGCACCAGGGGTCCGAGCGAGGCGGCAAGGAGCTCTCTATACCCTCTTCCCTGACCACTCAGTAATAAAACAGCTAGACCAGTTGGACATCTCCAATGGTCTGGATTGGTCCCTGGACCACAGGACCTTCTTCCACATTGACAGCCTGTCATACGCTGTCCATGCCTTCAGCTACGATGTGCACACTGGAAAGATTGGTACGCATGCTTTTAAATTTGGTGACAAGTAGTGCCACTGCTCTGTCTGCAGCAAGACCTGGGCCTGTGAGATGCAGGGATTTATTTGACAGATCTCATATCTTCTGGTTACAGCTTGTCAGCTGGCTGTGATGTTGCTCAAATTTACTCAGCAGGTGTATTTGGTGAACAAAGTTTTGACAGTCTTTCAGCTTTCTTTCATCTGGAGACATGGCTCATACTTAGACCAGTTCAAGGAGTTGCAGGGAAGAAGCCATTTACACTGCAGAATGAGAAAGAGCTTTTAGGATGGTATTTATTCTTGAGTGCCATCTACTGGAATTCCTTTGATTGTACTAGCTCCATAAATAAAAGTGGAGAACATGCATGTATGTATTTCACAGAAAGGGACTCAAAGGATCAAGCTGTCATTGTGACAGTTTTCCCAACCAAATTTCTGAAATTAAGATGTACTCAAATTTAACTTAAGTTCATTTTATGGATAAACATTTTTATTGTGTCTGCAAGGAACTAAATTTAAGTGTAAGCAAAATGGATCTAACCTAATTTCAAAACTCTTTGAAATATTTTCATGATGTATCAAGCTGATATACTCCACAGGAATTTAAATGTCTGAACTGCCTTTGTACTTTAAAGAGTGCAGACTTTGGGTAATCACAGATGAAAATCACACAAAGTAATTGCATTCACTCAGATTTCATTTTGTTGAGAACATCTCTTTCTACAGATTTTAGGATGTAAGATTTCAAAAGAGGATATAATGCAACATTTCCCCCTGCAAATATAAAAAAAGTAACATGTTTGAGCTTCCTAGGCTTGGCTCTATGTTCACAGCTGTTGATTCTTGGGTAGTGTAATGACCAGAAGGTGCTGGGTGGGTCAGAGCAGGTGATTGTGACCCATGGACCCTGCTCCATGAACCTGACTGCTCACCAACATATCTGCACTGCATCCCTGACCTTGAGCTGGTGTCCAGGTTTAATCAAAACTGGTTGCTTGGTTGGCCATTCAAAAGTAAAGTTTTTGATCTTTTGCTAGGAGAGATTGCTTATCACCAATGTTTAAAAGCAGGTAATTATTTATGTGACACGACCAATAAAGGTCCAGGAAAAGTTACTGCACTTGCAGCAGCTGTGTTGTGGCAGGCAGCAGGTGGGTTAACAAGAGAGATGGGGGCATTTTGTTCTCTTCTCTTGGTAAAATAACAGGAGCACTAATTTGGTACAATCCCATACTGAAATGTCTGTGCTGGGGACTTGTCTCTGCCAGGCTGAATTAGGCTTTTAACACATCTGCAGAAAGACATTTTGCATCATGGCTTTCTCACAGAAAATGAACGTAGCTGTTTGCAAGGGCATGGAAGAGGTTAGACTGGGGTCTGATACAGAATGGGTAGCAGCCCACAAAACATCACCTTTGTAACTCTTCCTGCAGCCTGCCCAAAGCTTTTGTACCACCTGGAAAAAGAGGAGCAAATGCCTGATGGGATGTGCATAGATGCAGAAGGGAAGCTCTGGGTGGCCTGTATTGATGGCGGCAGAGTCATCCGCATCGACCCGGAGACAGGTAGGGCCTCCACCAGTTTGTGCATATAAATGTAAGGGGAATGGCAGCAGGGGGAATGGTTTAAAGGGGAGATAAGGTGAAAAGAACTGCCCATTTCTGCCCCATGGGTTGCCAAGAGCATGGCTGGCTCAGGCTCTGATCATGTAAAGAGTGCAGCTCCCTGTGCTGCCTCCAGTGTCAGGTACCCCTGCTCCCATCATTGGCTGATGAACTGCAGCACACTCTTCTTAATAATGCCGCTATCAAAAAACCCCCCACAAAATGCTGCATATAAATTTTCTCAGTGTTGAAATGTTTAACTGGAAAATGTTTTAAGGAACAACATCCATCCCAAGCTAGGTGTCCCTGCCCTTCCTGAGCTCACACACAGTACTGCTTTGTTTAGAGAAAAGGAAATGAAGCCTCGCAGATGCAGGGGAGAGCCTGAAAAATAGATAGAAATGAGGCAAATTAAATAATTTGATTTCCCCACAAACTGTCCTTTAGGATGTGGTCTCTGTCTGAAGGGGAGGTGCCTTCTGAGTAATGTCACATCTGTGCCATGTGTACTAATAGTATATTCATAATTACATGCTTCCTAAAAAATTAACATTAGAAAACAATTGCACATTTTTCCCAGGAAAAAGAATCCAAACTGTGAGGCTGCCTACTCCAAGGATCACCTCTTGCTGCTTTGGTGGAAAAGACTACTCAGAAATGTATGTGACTTCTGCATATGATGGACTGGACGAGGCCACCTTAGCCAAGGAACCTCATGCAGGAGAAATTTTCAAGGTGAGCAGATTTTATTTCTTTCTTTCTGTACATCAGACCTGCCAAGCCTCATGTTCTGGGAGTGAGGTGGCCCCAGCTGCCCTTGCTCATCCCACTCACCTCATGAGCTGCTCCAGGTGCATAGCTTGTCCCCCAGCCAGGCCCAGCTGCTTTTGCAGAGCTGCTCATGCACTTGGAAGGAAGACTTGGATGGAGAAATTACAAGTTATAGTGTTGATATCTGGGTTGGCCAAAGCTGGCTGGTGAGGATCTGAAGGCAGTGAGTGGGTATGGATCTGCCATATGGATAGTGTGTTCTGTAGTACACTGCAAGGTGTTGCTTTTATCTCTTACTATAATTGAATCCCTTTTGCAAATTTCATTCTCTTACTTCTCAGTTTTTAATTGTGCCAGGAAATCTAAATGTTTACAGAAGATATTTCTCCTTTAAATTTACCAGGGCAAAATTTTGCATCTCAATCCTTTTAGGATTTTTTTTGTCTGTTAAAAATTGTGAGGATTTGAAGGAATTTTGAATGAGTTAGAAATGGGTTTTCTGAGGTTTTTCATATGATGTGATTTATTTTTTTCATCTTCTATATAGGTAGGAAGGGTAAGTTTGGCTCACATCTTCACCACATGGTTTAAACGGTCATGAGACTTTTAGTTATAAGATCTTCTAAGGATTTATTAACTAATAAAACACTGTTAACAAGGATATGTATGTTTTTGATTTAATCTTTAAATATTTTTTCTTATGGATTCATGTTACAATGTAAGCTTTCTTAGCTATTCATATTTTGATATATAAATCTATAATACTGTACTCTAAAACTCTAAACTTTCCTCTACTTAGCTTAACGTGTCTCTACTTTAAATTATAAATCCACATTCTCACTTCTAGCACTTAAGTTTGGAAACCTTTTCTAAGGTCTCAAATCAAATTCTCTGTTTAATTCTAAGCGTTGCCTTACAGGCCTAAAGTTCTGAGAATTCCCTACATTACAGATTCCAACAAAAAATGATTGCTACTTTTTAAAAACTTTTTTTGTCTGGGGCTCTTGAATCTGGAACTTGTTTCTCTCTTCATTTTTTTTCACTCCATTAGCAAAAAGAACTTCAGGAGAATAAAATGCAGTTCTTAGCAATTGCCATCAACCCAGACCAAAGTCTTTTATCAGTTTGGCCACAGGATGAAGACATGTTACAGGAGGGATGGAGATCTGTTCATGGGATCTGGGACACTCCTGTTGAAAGCAGTGCTTAGGGCAGATATCTCATGGCTGAGAACTGATATATTCAAGCATCACACTTTACAAGTCCACAGGAGGATTAAATAAGCATTTTTCTTTGCTTTGTTATTGAGTTCTCCAGTTCCACAAGGGAATTGGTGTTTTCCAAACTCACGTTTGTCTTGCATGGGCAAAGCATGTTAAAAATTACTATGAATTGTTTTGAAGATAAGGACTACATGCAAGGGCCACAGATAACATTTAAATTAGCAAAATTATTGAGTAATGCTTGATAATCTTAGTGATGTTAAAGAGTTTGGAAGACCTCCAAGTAGTGACTCCTTTTGGTCTCCTCTTGAAGCAGGGGACCCTCCACCTAGTAGTCTGTTGCTATGATATTTGCTCTACAGTGTTTGAATGTTTTCACTACATTGTTTCCTTTCTTTTATATTTTAATTTTTAATTTTTTAAAACAGATAACCGGCCTGGGTGTGAAAGGGATCCCACAGAACTTCTATGCTGCTTGAACCTTGACACTAAACAGCAAAGGAGAAATGCTTCCATCTTGTAGTAAATCTGACTGGAAGAAGTCAAATGAACTACAGAATTTATTTGTGTGAAGATTTCTAAGCCCACATTTGTGAGTGTGCTTATTTGGAGTTGAAGATATTTCTTCTTCTGTGGGCCTGTGGCTTGATGCAATAGGTTAGAGAGGTAAAGTTAATCTGTGTTACACCTTGGTAGCTTTTGTGACTTTCCATAAACCATTAAATGCTCAAGCATAGTTTTGCTGAACTTTCTGATGACCAGCTCTGGATTTTCAAGTCTGTGCTGTTCCCAAAGCAGAATCTGACTCCTCATGTTACAGTGATGCACCAGCAACAATATGGCAGATTTTAATAAACATTTTAAAGATTGATGTCTTGAACTGGATTGTTCCTCTACTGCAGGATTCCCTGATTCCCCTGAGGTTCCTTGTCTTTTTTTTTTTTTTTTTGTGTTTTTTTGTTTTGTTTTGTTTTTTTCTGTTTTGTTTTGTTTTTGTTTTTTTCCCTTTAATGATCAGATCTATTTGTAGTATCCAGGTTCCATTTTTCCATCCTCATTAGCCTTTTTCCAGGCTGTCCTGTCTTTAGGACACCCCTTAGGCTGCTGAAAATAAACTACACAACTACATTTAAAGAAATGCTTACAGATGATTTTTCCTCTGCATTCAGATGTTACCTTGAAAGAACTGCCTGATCACACACATTCAATGCACACACAGGCTGTGACCCACCAGGACAGCCTGGAATACCAAACATGGATGCTTGGTGGAGTTGTCCTTTCAGGGGTGATATTTACACACACACACACTTGAACTTCCCTTTGTTTGACAGCCTTAATGTACCCATGGCCTCACCGTCTTGTTCCCCCTTCTTCTGGTGCTCATCCACTCCCATTTCAAGTATTTTCCCCCTTTTTCCCTTTAGATCCTCCCCTCCTTTCTCCTCCAGAAAGGACAACATCAAGGTGTATTTTTATAGGCTGTTTAAATAACGACCCAGCTCTACCCTGGACTCACTGAACCCTGGTGATCCTTTCAGGATCTCAGAATGCTCTAGACCTGCAGACACACAGTGAAATCTAGCCTTTGCATTGAGTTTGCTATCTTTTTGCTGCCTGGAAAGAGACACAGCGTTTTAAAATAATACATTTTCAGATCTTTAATGCTGACACTTTGTAATGTTGCAAAGAAGGCAATAATACGCATCATTTACCAGACCAGATGTTTCAGTGTCTTCCTCTGAGGTATTTGACCTTTTCACCCCTGCTATTCAAAGCCCTCAGACACTATGAGTAGGGAGAAAGTACTCAGTGCCTCATGAGGATAATCTCCCCCAAAAACCCATGCACAGAGGAGCAGGGGAACTGTGGTTAGCCATGCAGAAATATTAAACACAGTTTCCAGGGGCTGTAGGCAGATTTCCTCTAAAATTAGCTGTTTTCTCCAAACCCAGCATCCCTCTCCTAGCCAGGAGTCCTTCACAACAGTTTTGAAAGAACCAAACTGAGTTGATTTTTTTCCTTTAAAAATACCCATATTGCCCAACTCTCTCATGTGGTAGCCTTCTGGTCTGCTGACAAGTAGGAGATCTGATGCTGAGATCTGATCAAGCAGGAGATGGGTCAAGCCACATGTCCTAGAAAAATGTTCTACACATTTCAAAGGAGACAGGAGAAGGTTAGGTGGTATATTTGACCCCTCAATAGAACTGGGTCACAGTCCAGACAGTAATCTGAGATCCAGAGGACCATGAAGGGAGCTTTATTCACTAAGTACTATTGAATATACTTGGCCACAAACAGGATTTTCCAACGTGCATTATTTCAATGCAGTTACCTGAAGACTACTCTAGAACCCACACCAGGTGTTTTTCAGACACTTATTGTAGATGGTTACTTTAGATCATTAGCAAGCACTTTGCTCCTGTGCTACTTGACCAGATAATTTGTATAACAAGATGAAGGGGCTTGTCCCATCACTCCTACCTTTCACCCTGGAAGGGAGGTGAGTCCATGGAGCTGCACAGAGACAACTAGATTGAGAAATAAAACATTCAGCTTATTGTAATGTTTGCTCAACAAATAGGCTGTTGTTTTTCTTCCTAAGTCATAATTCCAACAGTAATTAAACTGCTAGGGGTTCTTAAGAGCAAAGGTGCTAAATGCCCTTTGGCACCATGTCAGTGCCAAACTGGTATAAGGAACATAGAGAATTATGCAAGATTTCCTGTTTACCCCATCTGGAGAGGAATGTGATGGCAGGGTGTTTGGAGGCAAGTCAAGTGTCCTAACCTTTAATTAAAAAAAAAATAGGAAGTGAGTGCAGATACTTTATTTAACCAAAAATACCCAGTTACTTGCAAAATTGCCTACCTACTAGGTCCTTTGCTCTGCCAGAAAAGCAAAGTAGATAATTTTGTAACAATTTACACTTGAGAAATACTTGCCATCCCTGCAATATTTTTTTTTGCTAGAACTTTCCCAGGCATGTAAGCTGGGGCTGCTGGTTTGTTATTCTCCAGCCACTCCTTCCTCCATTTCTAAAGGGAGACATGGTGCGTGCTGCTCTGACATTCCAAGGTCTGGGTGCTTTGAGAACTCTCTCTTTGTAGCACAGCTTCTTAAACCAAAAAAGCCTTGAAGATAGATGAGTTTCTCCCTGCTACCCAAAGGCCCACTACTTTGCTTCTCTTCAGATTTCAGAAGTTGCTGTTTTGTGATTTTGCTTTCTAAAAGACAGTGCTAATTGAAAGCCATGTTGGGGCTGTTCTCCAGCCTCAGTTCACCAAAGCAAGGCCAAGGCCCCTTGCCTTGAGGCAAGGGATGAAGGCATGAAGGAAGCTGGTACAAGAGTGGGTTCATTCCTTTTGTGCATATATCCATAGTATATATATCCATAGTATCCATAGTCCTCGCTGAGGGCACACTCTGAGCTGGTTACTCAGTGGCTGAGTGCTTGGTTGGTGTGGGTCAGCCCTACATAGGGTCAGGCCTACCCCATATGCTCCTGCCCAGGGGTAACCTACAGAAAATAAACCAGCTAGTCAACAATATGGCACAGACTGATGGAAGCTGGTTTCCATTTTAAGGGATTGCTCCATACATCCTGCCTTTTATAAGTATCTATTATGTTTTATTTATATTTGACCTATATCACACTGGATGACATTAAACTAATAGTATTTTAAGTTAGCCATTCCATGCTTTGCCTTGTGAAGCATATAAAAAATGTGCTGGTGACTGACTGGTTTTGTATAATTCTCTACCTAACTGCAGCAAAAGTTGGTCTGAGTTCCCTCTTAGTAACCAGGCATTGGTTAACTTTGTTTTTGAAATGCAGCAAAGTGGAATAAAAATACATCCAGAATTTGGAACTTAAAGCTTTTGATTGATACAGGCTGTGTTTGATGCAGCCCAGGACACAGTTGGCTTTCTGGGCTGTGAGAACACATTGCCAGCTCATGTCCAGCCTCTCATCCACCAGCAGCCTCAAGCCCTTCTTGGCAGGGCTGCTCTTGGCTACTGCACTGTGACTGATCCAGGGTCTTGCAGATAATCTGTCTCAGGAGCAGGAAACCAACTCCACCTCCTCAATGCCAGTTCAGTGATTTACCTGCCACAGAATCAGTGAAAAATAAATTAAATTACAGAGTAATCTGAAATTTGGGTGAAGCTTTCCAATGACTCTCTGGGGCTTTAAAGAGAGGAGTTACTTCACTTTTGGCATTACATCTGTATAGTTTTGTCCATGCCAAGCATTTATTTTCCACTACAGAAATTGCCTCAAGGCTCAGTGGTTTTTTGTCAGCTCTTCCTTTGTTGATGTACATTAGCCTGACAAAATAGTTGTCTTTCTTTTTTGTATTCTAACATTAACACAAAAACCCCACACAAACATTTACAAAAAACTTTGGGAAATTATTAGGAAAAATTTAGGGTGCTTTGTTTCTTATATGGAGATGAGAAAAGAAATGGGAGATTTTTCAAGCCCTCAGATAAAGAATATGTAAATAAGAAGATGTAAAATCTTTATTAAGGACTTCAATTTTAGTCTTTAACATTGGAAAGATATTTATTTCACCTTCAGTTTTTTATTTTCCTACCAATATCTCTAGTGACAAGAAAGGTTAAAAATAGAATATTGGAAAATTATTTTGTTCTGCAATGGTGCTAGCTTGCCGTTCTTGTTTTGTCTTAAAAACCTTTCCCTAATTCTGCTTTCCCAAAGGAAGGATAGGCATGGAGACCTATTTATATGCCTCCAGCACTGATATCTTCATCCTGGGTGCCTAGTGATTCCCCCAGCAACTGTCTGTATACCAATAAAAATATAAATATATTTTTAATAATAAATAAATAAATAAGTTCCCTTCCTAGATGTAGGAGAAATGTTAGATGATTTTGAAGGCCTCCAGTGGGAAATCTACTCCAACTGAAATGAATTTTAAAATTTTGTAATGTCATTAACTAAGTGCTTACTTTTGGTAAATTGGAGCTTTTTGTGGACATCTTCAAAACACCTTCTTCCTTTTATTGCTGACTCATTTACTTGAGGAAGACTGGTCCAACAGGTAAATGCTTAACCAGTAGACACAACCAAATCCCCAAATCCCACATAAAACAAAGGCAGAATGCTTTGCATGCTTTGCATGGCCAACTCCTTTATTTTTACATCTCTGTATGGTATACAAACCATATTTATCACATACTTTTGACCATCTCTACAAAAATCAATTTGGAATTGGTCAAAGATCTACTATAATTGTTTCTGCTTATGCAGAAACAATTTCCTTCATTCTTAGGCTACAAGACCAGACCAGGTCAATGATTCAAGCAGTAGAAGATTCAAGTAATGCTGGAGGGTATAAGTTCAAACCTTTCCTATGTGCCTTAGAGGCAGAGCTCTGAGATCAGCCTACAATAGTCAGAAAGGAATGGAGAAAATGTTTATTGATATAATTTTTAATACTAGCCAGACGAG